AGAGGGAGGAGCTGGCCAGCCAGTTCAAATCCTTTTGAGGGCTTCCAAGGGGCATGGCACTGTTCTCAGGGCTGAGCTGGCTCTGGTATGCTGGGTCTGGTGAGGATCCAAGGTACAAAGGGACAGAATGGGCAATTAAGTTTTATTAGGCTGCTCAGATGCATCTGGAAGGCCAGAGGTCCTTTAGGTGCCTTACCAAATGCCACACTGAGCTATAAAACAGTGCCAGGTACTCATGGCTGATCTGCCTTCCACTCAAAGAGAACAGGGAGCTGGTCCCAGAGGAGGGCGCAGAGGGAAGTGCAGAGCCTAGAAAGTGGAAAGTTGCGAATGCAATTTTGAAAGCTTTAGTGTTCAGGTACACTGCTGTTGGCCTCTCAACATATTGGTCTTTGCAACATCCAAATAAAGCTGGCACAAGATTTCCCCCAGAATTAGTCTCCCGTGACTCATTTCTCCGGAACTTGGTGTGGCAGCCACTTGACTGAAAGCAGCGGTGAGGAGGAATGTCCAGGCATGTGGTTTCAGCCATGGGCGTGGCGGTGGGTGTGACTGGAGCAGGACAGAGAATGGGTCCGGTCATAGTCGGGGGCATGGCTGTAGCAGAGGTGGGGGGCTGTGGGCGTGGCTGTCAGCCTCAGCAGCCCCCCGTTACTGACAGACTGACTAGCCTCAGCTTAGTAACCCCATGGCAGGATTCCTGATGCTGCTCTTGGGCGCCAAACAGGTAGAACTACAGCCAAAGGTGAGAACAGGCCCTAGGAGGGTCTGAAATATCAGAGAAGAGGTCCCAGTCACACACCTTGGTTTTTTCTGTCGCTGCTGGGAGTCCGGCATGAGGGTGACCTGAAATGCCTTGACCCCCCCCTGCCGCCTTCAGGGTGTCTGGACGGCACCTGGGTTCAGGGAGCCCTATGAGCCCCAGCTGTCAGTGTCTGAGGCAGAGGGGTGCACAGTGAGGACACCCCTCCCCAGCTTCCCTGGGGATGCAGCAGGATTCTCGCACAGGATTCAACTCACCTCACCCTGCTCTCATCACTCAGATCCCTCAAGGCCACAGGAAAGCATCAGTGGCATCCCACCTCTTCCTCATCTCCTGTTCCCGAGGCCTCACAGTCTGCCAAATAACATCCTCTCTTCCATTAGCAGAAGTAAGTAAAGACACACCCCAACACCAACCCTCATCCCTCATACCAAGCTATGGCTTCCCACCAACTCAGTCTTTCCACAAACAGAAACCATTGAATTTCAGCTAGAGCTCAGCTAGAACACACTGTGGTGGGGTCCAACGAGTTAATGGCTGTGAAAGCTCTTAGAAAAAGATAGACACTCCTGAAAGAGTGTGATTTACATTTCTTTGACATTCTCCAGTTTCAAAAGCCACTTACCAATGCCAGTACTTCTGAGTTTTACTTCTGATACTTGTACCTACAAAGTAAGGCAGCTTTCATAAAAAATTTAAAAAGACTTTTAAACCATACTCTTCAAGACAGGAGAATGGAAGATGCAAAAGGAAATAATGATGAAATAAATAACAAGCAGATCAGTTTGTGAAGTAGCCCCCGCTTCGAGTCCACCCCTTGCCAGGACCTTCTCATCAACACTGATGGCGAAGGTTCACCCAGCACTTACCTGGCAGCACTTACTTCCAAGTGGTTTACAGCAGCTCTAAACAAGTGCTTTTCAAACAGGGATTATTTTCCCCTCCCCTCCCCAGGGGATATTTGGCAATATCTGGAGACATTTTTGCTTGTCACGACTGTGGGGAAGGGAGGATGACGACTATTATCTGGTATGTAGAGGCCAGGGATGTGGCTTAAACATCCTATGATGCTCAAGACAGCCCCTACAGCAAAGACTTTCTGGCCCAAAATGTCAATCAATAGTGCTGATCTGGGACTTCCTGGTGGTTCAGTGGCCAGGACTCCATGCTCCCAATGCAGGGGTCTGGGTTTGATCCCTGGTCAGGGAACTATTATAGATTCCACATGGCGCAATTAAAGAGTTTGCATGCTGCAACTAAAGATCGCATGTACTGCGACTAGGACCCAGGGCAACCAAATAAATGTTTAAAAGGGAGAAAGAAAAACCCTGATCTAAGAAATAAAAAGGAGCATTAACCCGCTTTTACAGATGAGGAAACAGAAGTTCAGAGACGTGCTTCAAGAATCTTAGGTTTATAATCGAACCTAATTAGCAAAAATGAGCAAAACAAGAGATGGAAAAAAGTTTGCCAATATTTTGAAATGAGCTAAGAGAAACAGGAACTTGGAAACCGTTAGCTTTGTGTCTGCCCTGTGATTTTCTACGTTAGGATAACGTGAATCCGTGGCTCCTATTGAACTGGAAGGTTCATGCGCAGGACTGAAGGCAGAGACACTTCTTTCCAAACTCATCACTCGATATCCCTGTTTGCGAACACCCTGTTTTCCAATCTCACGGCCACACTTCTCATTCTCTTCTCAACTTGTAGCCGGTGCTTCTACCTTTCTAGCTCTGTTTGTGAGAGCTCAGAGCAGTGGTGATGAAGGGAGGCACCTGCCCTGCAAATACAGCACTATCTCACTTTAGATTGAGAGCCCGCCTCTACCTGGGGGTGGACAGGGTAGGTGGCCAGCTGTCTGTAGTCTCTCCTTTCTCTCCTGGGCAAAACCTTCTTGGAATCATTGGGAATATCAGCTAGTGGCTATACAAGGAATGAGGACAGAAGGAATCAAAAAGAGGCTAAGACTTACGTGGACTGTCATTTTTAAAAAATGCTCAGGGTACTTGGAATGAAACAGCCAAGTACAAAATTGAATGTACATCAATGAAGACTTCTTAAAAACTTTGCACTTTTGCATATTCCATTTTCTAAATGAATATGTATGACTTTTATCAGAAACAAGTTAATTATTTTAATAAGAATGTTTTTTTAAAAAAATCCCACGTAAGGAGTGAAATGAGTGAGGTCCATAAAGGGGAATGAAAAAAACGCTCAGAGCAGCCTTTATGTGTGTGAGAACTAAAGCCATCCAAATGAAGTGGAGAAAGGCTAAATAAATTGAGGGTATTTTGCTGCAACAGAATACTACATAGCAAGGGTAAAAGAGCACATTACTACCTCCCACGGCCACACAGATGAGTGTCAGAGACATAATGTTAAGGAAACTGGACAGAACACAAAAACATACACCCATTTTATTTAGGTATTGTATTTAGGTGAAGCTCAAGCCTGAGTATTGACTGGAAAAGGGGCAGAGAGCCTGGGAGGGGTGCTGGGTGGGGTGTCTCCCTCTCCTGTCTCTTTCAGAGCCACCAACTGGCCTCTCATTTGTATAAACCACTCAGCAAAAACAAAAGCCCTGGAGGTAACAGAAATCTGCTCCTTTTGAAGGCAGCCTAGCCGCAAGGTCTCTTCCAGGTCTCGTTGGAAAAGACCCTGATGCTGGGAAAGATTGAAGGCAGAGGAAAAGGGGGACGACAGAGGATGAGATGGTTGGATGGCATTGCCGACTTGATGGACATGAGTTTGAACAAGCTCCAGGAGTTGGTGATAGACAGGGAAGCCTGGCATGCTGCAGTCCATGGGGTCGCAAAGAGTCGGACATGACTGAGCGACTGAACTGAACTAGCCACAAGGTAATAGGACTCTTAGGGTGCTGCTACCCGCCAACCCCAAACCCTTGTTCCCCTTGCTCCCCCATCCACCGGTAGAGGAGTTCCCATCATTATCATTATATCAGGGATCCTATTTCACCAACATTATGCCTGTGTATTTTAGTTTTCCACTCAAAACTATTTTTTCTTTTTTTAAAAAAAATTAAAAATTTTAATTGAAGTCTTGTTGATTTACAATGTGTCAATTTCTGCTGTGCAGCAAAGTGATTCAGTTATAAATATATATACACATTCTTTTTTTCATATTCTTTTCTATTATGGTCTATCATAGGATATTGAGTTGTTTCCGTTGTAGCTCAGTCGGTAAAGGACTGCCTGCAGTGCAGGAGACCACAGTTTGATCCCTGGGTCGGGAAGGTCCTCTGCAGGAGGAAATGGCAACCCACTCCAGTATCCTTGCCTGGAAAATCTCGTGGATAGAGGAGCCTGGTGGGCTGCAGGCCATGGAGTCGCAAAGAGTCGGACACGGCTGAGCTACTAACACTTACAGGGTGTTGAATATAGTTCTCTGTGCTATGCCGTAGGACCTTGCCATTTATCCTGGAAGCTGTTTTCTTGGTGCTGCTTGCTCTAGGGCTGAGCCAGAACCCTTACTGCCTCAGGGAAGGAGAAGGATCTTTCTGAATAAAGAGGCCATTGATCAGCATTAACATCTAAGCTGAGGTTCTTGACCTCTGCAGGGGGACAATGGCCTTGAAAGGCAGGCTCTTAATGGGGGTGGGGGGGGCGGCGAGTATTTCCCAATAACTCAGTTCCTTTCTGACCAAGTCAGGCAGAGGGCTCTAAGAAGGGATTTTCAACCAGAGTGCCTCTGAACTCCCCAGGAGACTTGGTCCCCTGTGCTCTCAGGAGAGCCTGGCAGGATCTGCGTGGCTGGGGACCCTGTTAGTCCTCCAGAGCAGCCCTCTGGGGTTCACATCCTCTCCAGGACCCAGTGGGCCACACCCATTATTTCCTATGTGATATTTGCTACCACATGAAAAAACTGGAGAGACATGGCTCTTATTTTTTTTTTTTTTAAACAAAAAAAAAAGAAACGACAGATTTAATTTAAAGGCAGAAACCGAGAAATTGTCCAAATAAACAGTGGAGCAAATCAATTCCTGAAAAAGCTCTGTATCATGGCGATCACATTTATTGGAAGGGGTGGAGAAAAATAAAAATGCCGTTTAGCTGAAGAACTTGTGAGTTATCTACAAATCAACTTATGTCAGAAGTGGAAGAATTCTTGGTTTTTTCTTAGTATCAAGATGTACATCGGTCTCTCTTTTGAATATCTTCCACATTCAAAGAGGCAATCACACAGTATAGCCCATCTTCTACACAGGATAAATTCTGTTTCAGCCAACTCTCAGCGGTGGGGCAACGAGCACAACGTCATCTCCCCGTACAAAGAGCATCGGAATGTTCCGTTTTGTTGATTTATATATCTCTTCATATGTTTCTTCATCAATTTCTATAGTTGTCACAGTTTCTTCCACATCTCCCAATATCATATTTAAATGCTGATCATAAGCATGTAACCTGCCTCGAAGCTCTCTGTCATTTCTCATCTTCACGTAGATGCGCTCGTCCAGGCTGAGCCGGATGAGATCCAGGGGCTCTTCCACAGTGTTGGTCGTTTGTTGCTGGTCCACGTCGTCCGCCATCTTTCAAACCCTCGAGGCATGGCTCTTAATCAGTACATTTTGTCATTCCCAGTAACCTGTTCCTGCTACCCTGGGAGGGTGGTGAGGAGGAAGAACCTGCAGGTCATTGATAAAATCGGATGACTCCGGGGAGACGAGATTCAGAAACATTAAGAAAACGATGGGGAAAGTATGAGAACATCGGGGTAAATGGATCATATCCAGGGCACAGTGCAAGGACCTCTGCCGGGCCCTGGAGGTGGGGCCCTGCCTTTGGCTTAAAGCCCTGTGTCCCTCAGGCCAGCAGCAGTGGTGTGCAGGGGGGATGTGAAGGAGTGTGTAGAGCAGCCTAAAGAAGATGCCCTGACTCTGTGACCTATATGGGGCATGGAAGGGGACTCAGAATCTCCCATGGGCCTGATGAGGTGACAGGGAGGTGCCAAAAGAGCTTGGAACCAGCTCTAACCTGTGATCAGGAGCAACAAGCTGCCACAGGCAGAGTGTAAAGCCAACGGCAAATAACCTGGACTCTGGGTGCTGGCCAGGGTCTGTCCTGGCCTATGGAATGCCTTTGTGCAAACTAGAAAAAGCCTCCTTCTGACATACACAGCCGCCGGGCTCACAGCTCACCTAGTTAAGTTCTGGCTAGATTTCAGCCCCTCTGCGGGCACCCTTGAGCAAGGCATAACCCCCACTCCTGTGAGAGATGGCTGCAGTTCCAGAACGTTGCTCCACCAAAGAACGTTAGGCAGGCAAATTGCCCCTCTGTGGTCCCTGGTGCAGGTTGCAGCTAAGACCAAGCATTCCTTAAAGGAGACCCTGATCCTCTTTCACTTTCTATTTGTCTCCCATGTGGTGAGGGACTTGAGGTGTTTGCCATGAGGGGGACGGGGGGAGGGAGATGGGGCTGGGAATTCTGGCTATATTTCTCTCTTTGCTCAGCAATGTCAAGACTTAAGGTCCCAGAGATTATTCAAAACGCCAGGCTGGCATAAAATCATATATCTCCCCTTCACTACATGCAGGGAAGAAGATGTATTGTGGAAAAATAAAGAAGCTACTTTTTTTTTCAGTACATTGAAGTGTTGAGTAAGTAAAACCACAACTCTACTGAACAATTTTTTCTCTTTTGCTATATTTCTGGGGAGATGCTGGCACCTCTTATGAATGAGGTAACCAAAGGTTGCTGTTTGCCCTAGAACTGTCCTAGATTTTCCTGATCCCCAAGACCATTATTGTTGGCTACCCTTTTCACCCCCAGAAGTATGTCAGAATAGATGATAAATTATGTGGTCATCTATTAACAAAGCCACAACAGATATGAGGCTTGGCTTTCGCCGTCTTTCCTTCTAGCTTTGGTTAGTGTCAAATAAGAATGACAGGCATGGTGATCAGAGGAGGGAGGAAGGCGAGAGGAAGGGGAGAGGAGAGAGAGATCCCTCTGGGCTGGAGAATACAGGCAGGAAGAGGAATTTGATGCGAGCCTTGAGGGAGAGAGAATTAGGAAAGGAAAGGAGTAAGCCTTCTAGACAGGAGTGAATGTGTTAATTACTTTCATAGCAGAACACATTACTAGCAGCTTAAAACAGAAATAAATATTATCTCACACAGTTTCTGTGGGTTAGGAATTTGAGAGTGGCTTAGCTGGTGGCCCTGGCTCAGGGTGGGTATAATCAAGATGTCCGCGGTGGATGTTGTCACCCGAAGACTTGACTGGGGCTAGAAGATGTTTCCACAATGGCTCACTCACAGGCCCATTAACAGGAGCTCCTCACCGTGTGGACCTCTTCACAAGGCTGCTTGAGTAGCCTCCCAGAGTGGCAGCTATTCTCCCTCAGAGCAAGTGATCCAAGAGAGGAAAAAGTGAAAGTGAAAGTCACTCAGTCATGTCTGACTCTTTGTGACTATCCAGTCTATGGAATTCTCCAAGCCAGAATACTGGAGTGGTTAAGTCGTTCCCTTCTTAAGGCCAGAATACTGGAGTGGGTAAGTTGTTCCCTTCTCCAGGGGATCTTCCCAGCCCTGGGATTGAACCCAGGTCTCCTGCATATGCAAGTGGATTCTTTACCAGCTGAGCCAGGAGGGAAGCCCAAGAGGGAGCAGAGGAGAAACGGCCAGGGCTTTCATGACTTAGCTTTGGACGCCAGGCTCCATCGTTTCTACAATATCCTAATGCCTACATCAATCAGCCCTCTACATATATGTGAATACAAAGAGGTGGGGTTTAGCGGGGGTCATCTTGGAGGCTGGCTGCCACCCTGAGTGTGCACTGAGGCACAGAGGCAGAAATAAGAAGTGCGTGCTTGGAAAACTGGTGACTGGGCAGTTGTCTGGAACATTTACTGACTTCCCACCGTGTTCAGCACCAACCAGTCCTCTCCAGCCAAAGTCCAGCCATCCAATATTGGAGAATATTGATTGCCTGAGCATGTTTGAAGACATGAGGAACTGCAAGCCTTTAAGCATTGCTGAGCTCTAGAGCAAAGTGCTAAGAAACATTTTACTTTTGCTAGCCTGAGAAATGCACTATATAGAAAGCACACTGCTGCCTTATAGGAGTTGAAGATTACTCCTTTTTAAAAGTACACTCTAGGAAAAAAAATATACATCATTAAAAAACAATCTTTGAAAATTCACTTTTCTTTTTATTTATGAGCATTTTTCTCATTTAAAAATGATATACTGCTTGTGTAATTTTTAAAAGATTAAAAAGCATTACAAACTATACTCTGCACAGAGCTATCATGCTTTTCCAATACCAGAGTCCTGTGGAGCAAAAGAGAACAAGTTTCAGGAGTCTGTGCTAAAGAATGAAACATAGCTAAGGTCAGGCCAAGGAGGGGATCACTGTGGTTACCAGATGCCTGGCTTCTAACTAGGTCAGCATTTTAAGAAGGATAGAGTAAAGTTTGAGCATTTGAGTTGTGGAGTCACAACTGATCTTTATTTTACTCTGCGGTCCTATAATACTGGCCCATTTCTAGATTTTTCTCTATCCTTAGCTAATGTTATGCGTCTTATACTCTTATGTTATACTCTTATATTCTTGTTTTAAAGTGTTAGTGCTTGAAACTGATCTGAGTGTCCTTTAGAGAACAGTGCTCCCTCACTCCACATCTATTTATTTAACAATTATTTTTCGGTCCCTAGGGACATCATGATGTACACACAGACACAGCCTTGCCCATGCGGACCTTCCATTCTGATGGGCAAGGGCAGGGAATGCTGCTTTAAATTTCATTTACAGAGGATCCACCTTAGGGGAAAACCTAGCATTCTCTGTGCCTCTTAGATGACTTTAGAGTTAACTTGAAAGAAGACTGGATGGAGACATTAGATTAACATATAAATACCATGTAAATGTACCAAGCAGCCAAAGAATCCTCAGAATCATTTATGTCTTATATCTCTCTGTGACTGCCCTATCTTTTTCTTTTCTCCATTTCTATAACAAATATATGATGCCAACTATTTCAGTTATTAGGAATACATAATTTTCTGTGACATGTCATGTATCAATGGAATATAACTGGGTCATAAAAAAGAATGAAATAACATCAATTGCAGCAATACAGATGGACCTAGAGATGATCATACTAAGTGAATGAAGTAAGTCAGAGAAAGACAAATACCATATGATATCACTTATATGTGATATCTAAAAAAATGATACAAATGAACTTATTTACAAAACAGAAACAGACTCACAGACACAGAACACAAGTTGGTGGTTACCAAAGGGGAAAGGAGCCAAGAAAGACAAATTAGGAGTTTGAGATTAGCAGATACAAACTACTACATATAAAATAGATAATCAACAAGGGTTTACTGTATAGATAGTTCAGACAGTAAAGAATCTGTCTGTAATGCAGGAGATGTGGGTTCGATCCCTGGGTCAGGAAGATCCCCTGGAGAAGGGAATGGCAACCCACTCAAGTATCCTTGCCTGGAGAATCCCTTGGACAGAAGAGCCTGGCGATCTCTAGTCCACAGGGTCTCAAACAGTCAGACACAACTGAGTGACTAACACACATACACACAGAGGGTGCTCTACAAGAGCTGGCAATGACCTATCATGGAAAAGAATCTAAAAAAGAGTATATATATATACTTTGCTCTACACCAGAAACTAACACAACATTGTAAACCAACTACAGTTCAATTTACCAAAAAAAAATAATATCTCATTTTCCAAGTTAAAAAAAAAGCCCCTGTAGGTAGTAAGCTCTATGTGTCAGGCACAAGCTTTTATGCCCTCACTTATATTAATCTCAGCTAAATCACACAACAGCCTTACCTGTGAGATATATCGTCTTTTTATCCACATTTCACTAGTGAGAAAACTGTAGCTCTGAGAGGCAAGGACACATGTTCAGGGTCACCCAACTAGTCAGTGGCTGAACAGGGACTCAAATCCTTGTGAATCTGACCCTCTCAGCCTCCACTGTGCCAGCGCCAGTCCTAACTTTTGGCTTTTAGCTCCTATGGAGTCTATTTTGACATTAGCAAGAATTTACTGGTAGCTCCTCTGAACTTAAAACGGCAAACTAAAAAAGAGAGAAGAAAACAGCTTGAAACCTGTTTCAGGCCCTGCATGAGGCAAGGAACAGAGTCAGCGGAAATGAGAAGCCAGCTGGATTCAGCAAGTCTTCAAGTAAGGGGGGCCGTGTGAACCAACTTAATTGGATGATTATTTCAATTATCTAATTAAGAAAGATTACAGCTGAACAAAGCCAGAGCTGGCCTCCAAGGTGATAGGAAAAAAGAAGTTGATTAGCTGGGATGGCCCTTGGCAGCACTGGGAGGTGGAAGGGACTTCCCATTGGAGGCCCCGGCCCTTGGGACAGTCAGCCACCAAGAGGGCCTCCTCTCCCACCCCTTCCAGCCCTCCCCTGTTGAAAGCTATCTTCCTCCTTACTTACTATTTGAGACTCAAGTTGTCGAGGAACCAATTTTCTCCTCCCTCCTCTCCTTTCTCCCTTTCCTTCTTCCCTCCATTCTTTCTTACTTCCTTTCCTCCT